CTTTAATGTTTCATGCTAGCCCACTCGCAGTCCCTCAGAGTTTTTTGGGTGTGTGCTTACGTGTCGCTAGGCACGTGTCTTTCGCAAAACACAAACGTCCAAGTCTCCAAAATATTTGCTTTTGTTTACACACCTAGTTTTTAATGTGTACATTTTGGAAAAAAAGACACCAACCTAAAATTAAATGTACAATCTATGCTTTTGCCTTGTGTAAATAGCACACGTAGACTTTTTATGTTCACACCTAGGAAAACGCCATAGTACTTTACGTTCCACACTGTGGTAGGAAGACACACGTACACACATTAGTAACTCTGACAAGGACTCGGGTATATTGTCATCCCACGAAGTGATACAGCACTGGGGTATGTTTTATGAATTACCTTCAAATTTTGGTTTTAGAAATAAAGTGAAAGTAGACTACGCGTTTTCGGCGTTACATTTGTGAAGGGTTAGTACTACTTTAATATGGGTATTAAGAACTGAATGGGTAGGTAATTTTTTTGTTTTTTCTATTTTGTGTGAGGTGGCAGGGTGCGGTGGAGAATGACGGCATGCGTCAGAGTGGTCTCGAGTCTGTACGGAGCGAGTTCTGGAAAAAGCGGTCTGTAAATGGTAAAACGTACAAAAGTGTATTAAATATTTGAAGTTTATTAAAGTTAATTTTATTTATTGTAACAAAGTTAAAATATTATGATGAAAATATTTCAGAGCTATGGCAAAACTGACCGATACGACAACCGAATATTCTGTGATGCCGCATGCAGATGCGTAAATATGTGCAGAGAGAAAAGAGTGTGGGGTAAAAGCCAAGAAGAGGCCAACATTAACGTGGGCCGAGTTGGGCGGAACTGAGGGAAGGAATCCGGGTAGCTTTGATTAAGAGGGAATCATTAATTTTAAGAAACCACACTAGTATTTCTCTTGTGAACGTATGTTCTAGGAAATTAGATTTAATATCCAAAGTCGTGTAGTAATTTTATTTGAGTGACTCCTCGTGTATTGGATTACGTGCGGCTAAATACCTACTGTAAATTCTACGGTCGCCACTACCTTTCTGTCTGTCTAGATACGAATCCCTCCCTGATAGCTGTAGCCAATCAGATGTCTCCTCCAGTCTAAGCCAATCACATGAGCGCGCCCCCACGAGGGTAGGATTTCTTGCGTTCATGACACTTCATATACGCATTTTGGGCCCATAACTGTATGTCACTAGAATAGCAAACCAACAGTAGCGTGGAAAAGATTGGAAAATAATTCAATATCATGCATTTCCAACTCTTTCTGTCTTAACTGATGTTTTTTGACCAATTTGGTGCTGACATCTTTTTCAGCCCCTTGTTAAATGCAGTTATGGGAGTATTAGGAAGTCAGGAATTCATCATGATACATATGTTCATAGGCTAAGGTTTTAGTAAAGTGTATTATCCTCTCAGCTGTCATGTGCGCTCTGCTCCTCTACAGCGGTTTGTCACTGCAGCCTCCTAACTCGCGTCTAGATGTGATGACTAACTTAACCCAGTTGTTCCTTCCTCTTCATCATTCTATTATTACCGTTGTGTGTTACTTTGCATCATTCATAGCCCCTGCGTGATCACACTGTACGCCAGCAATGATTTATACAGCGTCTCCACTTCAACTAAAGGTCTCTCTCTTCTCTTCCCTCTCTTCTTTTGACCTTCTTTCCCTCCCCTCCCCCCCAATGCTCTACATCCCTCTCTCCTCCACCATCCCTCCTTCTTTCTCCTCTTCCTCTTCCATCCTCCCTGCAGCCTTGAAGTAAGATGGAGTCTTCAGACGATGACACTCTGAGCGAGCGGTCCTGCATCAGCGAGCCGTCCTTCCGTAGCGAGCGCTCAGGGGGGTCGCTGTCCCCGTGCCCCTCGGGACCCGTGGGGCCCCCCGGGGACACGCTGCCCTGGAACCTGTCCAAACATGAGAGGAGAAAGAGGAAGAGCCAGGACTCGGTGCTGGACCCGGCGGAGAGGGCGGTGGTTCGTGTGGCAGGTAAGAGAAACTATCTCTCACAGACTGACAGCGTGCCTTTGAGCAAGGCACTGAGCCTGCTCCTGTTGTGTGAGCTGCTCTGTGGATAAAGGTGAACTATGATGGTTGTTGCTGGAAGCTTCCAGTGGAGGATCTGCATGTGTGTGTGAAAGTGAAGCAGGATGTTGCTGTAAGAGTAGCGAAAGCATCAGCACATTTAAATGAATGCTAAACCCCAACCTGAAGGCAGATAAAAACAGGACCGAAGAAAAGTAGCATCTGTGAGACCCAAACTCAGTTAAAGGGGCCCTATTGTGCTCATTTCAGGTTCTGTATTTTGTGCCTCTACTGTGACATATCTCCATGTTTTAATGTTCAAAAAGCTCTTTATTTTTCTCATACTGCCTGTGCTGCAGCACCTCTTTTCACCCTCTGTCTGAAACCAGAGCCCAGTCTGTTCTGATTGGTTAGATTTGTCAACTGCGTAGAGATGTCCATTCCTTATCATGTTCAATGTGTTGCAGTTCAATGGAGGTGTTTCAGGCAGAGGGGAGAGTGTGGGAGAAAATCTACCAAAATATAGTAGTCTTTAAAACACTTCAGACTCGCACGGATTAGTAGTATTAGTGTACTTTTTATGCAACAGGGTTCCACATGTTTTTTGTGAAAATGCATCCGTTTGGGAAGTAGGGAGCATACTATTGGATAAATTAGACTTTGAATTATACTGAATGAGTTGTGTAAAAGATATACTTTGCCGTTGTTAAACACTGCCCCCATTTACTTTAATTTATCAAGAATTTACTTCGTGTTTAAATTATTTTTTCAACCTGGTAGCATGCGGGAAGAAATATATATTTTCATCACAAATGTAAAGGTCCCATGCCGGTTATTACCCGTCCCCTTGTGTATTATGAAGGTTTTTCTGCGTGTAAATGGTCTGCAGAGTCAAAAACCCTCAAAGTACACCCTGTAGGGAGTAAAACTCTAACACAGAAAAGACCTGTCTATGCTGCCCCAGAACGCCTCGTTGGACATTTCAAGGCACACA